GTGTTTTTTTTTTTAACAAACAAAGCTGGACGTTCGTCGTCCGTTTGACCAGAAGACTTATCCGTAAGTCTTCTACATCCAGAAGACTTACGGGTAAGTCTTCTACGCGAAGAGATCTGGAAAAAAAATCAATTTCAAACCTTAAACTAGGTGAGATGACTTCCTTTGCACACAAAGTCTTCTCCAACCACCCAGAACATCGAACGAAAGTATCCCACCAACAATTGTATGCTTAAATGGCTCTATCAACCATAAAAAATTTGCTATCAAAAGCTTGGGTTTTTGGTATAAATATGGAGACAAAGTGAAGGAGATGTTGTTTTTAGTTCATAACAATTGAGAAAGAGAGTATGAGTATTGATTTTAAGTGCATTAAAAGCTTCAAACCTTGGTTGTACAAGGTTGTTGGGTTGTATAACGTTGTTGGGAGTATTCATGGCAATGGCAATGTTGTAAATACTTGAAAATGATGAGGTTGAGAGAGTAAAAAGGTCATTTTCGAAAATTAAAAAAAAAAATTAATGGTATTTTCGTAAATAAAATGAAGATGTGGGGTGGATAGGACAAAAACAAAATGAGTTAAAAGAAGAAGTTAGTTTTGTGTTTGACCATGAGTTTTGAGTCAAATTAGCAAAAACCCCTTTTATTTATAGTAGATATATATATTGCACGCAAAGATCTTTTTATCCTCTGCCGTTAGGGTTTTCGCTTTATGTTATGCGTTGACGCCGCTTCATATATATACATTTTAATTTATATAAACTTAGTAAAGACAAAATCCTTTTGGCCGCAGGGATCTGACTCGGATAATCCTTCTTCATCGACAAGTTGTAGAAAGGTTCCTAATCAAAAAAAAAATATATATATATATATATATAAATACAGAAAATGATTGAGATTTTTAAACCTTGTTTTTAGAACCAGTTCTTAAGCTTTAGTGGCACATGTGTTTTTTTCATTTACTAATATTTATTTAAAGTAATTAAATTGAAATATATAAATATAACATATTAAAATATTAATTTATTGTTGTTAAGCACTTCAAATTATGATTTCATCGATAAAGATGCTCTAAATTCGTTTTCTATATTAAAATGGTTATTGTGATAAAAATGTTAAAAATGGTCTAAAGAGAATATTTGGTGGATGCAAAAAAAGAAAGAAAGAAGAATATTTGGTGGATTGACCGACCTCTCGAAACCGCGGTCATATAAAATATATTTTGGTAGACAAAATCAACAAAATATTTTATTAGAACTTTAGAATAGAATGTGAATTGACCGACCCCTCAACACGACGCTCATACGATAATAATTTGGTAGGCTGGTATGTCAAAATCAACAAAATATTTTCACGGTTTCGCCCGATATAATGCATGTTAATTGATATATTTAATAAATTTTACAATAGTATGATTAGAACTTTAAGATTCATTTTTTATTTATTAATAAATAGTCATTAAATTTTGTATTTATTAATTTAGTGACTATTATCATTTACTTTATTTTTTTAAAAAAATAAAATATCAGAAAACTTTAATTTAATAAGTAATACATAATTAATAGTTTTGTAATATAATTTTGAATATAATTAATATTTTATATAAATATATAAAAATGTAATATTGTTAAACCAAAAATAGAAATGCAAATAAATTTTATAAATATAAAGTTACAAAAATAACAAATATAATATTTAAGTGTGATAAACTAATTACTTATCAATTATAAATAATAAAATATAAAATTATTCAAAACTTAAAACATTAATAATATATAATATTTTTGGTGTAATATTTGATGTCATGGTTAAAGATGACAAAAAAAATAATACTAATTTTGGTGTAATTTCAACACCAAATTTGGTTATAGTTTGAGTTTCCCTACTAAAATGATGATATATACAGCAACCGAGATTTATGGATACATTTAAAAAAAAATAAATGAGTTAGGTGACAAGTTTAAAAAGGGTAATATGCCTGAGGTGGGTTTCTGCTTATGCGTCATGTGTATTTATCCAAAGAAATTCGAATTTGAATCCCCAAAATCAAAATCACAAACTGATTTAATAGGTATCTATACTATTATTTGCGAAGTGATTTTTCGCAACGGAGCTCTCACGTTAAAAGTTGGAGTGGTTAATATCTATTTTACCCTTAATGAAATTTTTATATATAACTAATTTTATAATTAAAAAAAATTTAAAAAAAAATTTAGATAAGTACAGTATGTTATTATCTTAGATAATAAAGAATAATCAATATAATAAGTTTATAAAAAAACAAAAACAAGATAACTCTTATATATGTTATTATTATCTGAATAATATTGTAACAACATGATAATGCTTATAGATCTTAATTTTATATAAAATTGATTTTGGCTTTTAAAAATAATATCATTATATTATAAAATTTAAGAATTAAAATATAAAATCGATTTTAATTAAATATTAATCAAAAAACATTCGTATAAAGATACTTTTAATTATATAATTAAATATTAGGTATTAAAAATTGGAACGGTTCAAGTTAATAATACCTTTAATGAAATTTATATATTTATATATAAATTAGTTAAACCAAATTTTAATTTATATGTTATTATATTAGTTAATTTATTATAAATTGATAAGATAATTATCAACATTCATGCATATTTAAAACATAAGATATCTTATAAAATATTATTCAATTATCTGAAAATAATCTTTTTTATTGTGAAAAATAAAAATGTAAGTTATAAAACAATTTAAATTAAATATTAAGAAAAAAAATATAAATATATTTTCAAAAATATTTTATTATGTGGATGTTTTTCAACACTATAATAAGCATATAGATTTTGATGAAAAAATCATATAAAAATATTTTAATGTTTGATTTAGGTTTTTTAAAACTATAGAAAATAACTTATAATATTATTTTAGAATTCATAAAACAAAAAAAAATAATAAATATTCGTAAGAAAATTATGCCCGCATATGCGGGCACAACACCTAGTAAGTATAATTTAGCATTATAAGATACAATTAGTAAAATAGTTAAACGTACATCTTATAATTTTTGCACGTCGACTCAACTAAATCATGTTCTCCGTATAGTGAGTTGGTTATGGATGAAAGTTGTCGATCCAAATTAATAATAACAAAAAATATAATTTAACATTCAACAAAAAAATATCCCTATGTGTCATGGCATTATTCTAACTAAAAATATAATTGAACATTTAAAAGAAAAATATTACTTATGTGTCATGTCATTATTTTAAACCCAAATCGAACTCCCGATAGAAATGTTTTCAAATTTTTCTTTCCAACCCCCTTGTTCATTATTTTTCAGCACAGTCCAACCCACTTGTTCAGATTCTGTATTTGTATATTCATAAAAAGAGCCAAAATGCTTATAAAAGAAACCCATCCCTTAGCTTATTGACAACCATAGCCACTTTGTTCATTATATCTCTCTCTCCACCATTAGAGGTCAGTTCTCTCTCTCTCTTCACTTATTTCATAGCTTTATGGTGTAATGAAATCAATGTAAGCGTAACTAGGATGCTATTAAAGTTGTAGAACAAGAAATACTCCTCTCCAGCTATTAACTACTACTCCCTCCGTTTCATTTTAATTGTCACTCTACCTTTTTGCACACAGATTAAAGAAACATTTAATTTTACATATTTTCAATAAAAAAATACAATTACCTATACGGCTAACCACTTTTCAACCAATAGAAAAATAGAATATTATATGATTAGTTTGTCTCGAAACTCGAAAACGACACATATTTTGAAACGAATTTTTTTCTCCAGAATTACAATTAATTCGAAATGGAGGGAGTATTAAATATTAAATACAAGTACTTAGAATTTTGGTCTTTCCCGTTTATGTTTCTGTAAATGGCCTTGAAAATGGTATTTTCTTTCTTTTAAATTTCAACTAGATTTTGACTCGTGCAACCGCGCGGATGTTTGTTCTCGTCTATAATTAGTTATAGAAAAATTTTGTTTTCACTTATAAATTGGTATATATTATAGTAATCACATATATACGATATGTATAGTAAATGTTTTTCAAACATAATAATATTATATAATACGTGTTTTAATCTAATAGATTGTTTCAAATTTTTTATATTATACATGTTTTTCAAACATGTGTTTATTTTTTCTTCTATATTTTATTGTTTGTTAGATTGATATTTCATTTTTAGATAAAGTAATATAAATAGAGCTTGATTAAATATTAGTATACTTTAATTTGCAAATATAATATAAACTTCGAAGAATTTTTTGCTAAAAACTAAACTTATAGCTTCATAAATTAATATTATAAAGAATTTTATTAAAAAGAATTTTTTTAACAATTTTTTTTTAAACAATCTAATTTTAAAAATTTACATGGAAATAAATTTATCTAGTATATATAGCGTGTAATTTTTTTAGAATATATAAATATTCCATATTACGAATTTGTGATTTTTGTTAATATATTGTGGATGCATTTAACTATCATTGACATATTTCCTTATATATAATAGAAGATTCTTAAACTTATATCTATTGACATATTTTGCGTGAATAAGTTGGAAGGCGTGGGGTAATTTACCACAACCAAATTGTTAAGTGTATCTTTGTTATTAGAGAGTTAATAATGATAAGATTATTAGAGAGTTAATTTAACATGACTTTCTAGTAATAGTCCATTTTTAGAAAAATCACACATAAAGTCAAGTCATAACTTTTGTGTTATATATAAGATACCTAAGGAATTACATGTGGGTATTTGTAGAATTGTGTATCGAACTTGACTTGTCTGATTAGATCAGTCAAACAACCTATTTTTATACACAAAAGTCGTTAAACTATATGAGAGATCAACAATAATTAGTAGTATAGGATTAGGACAAGTCATCCTTATCCAAGTTAGTCTTAAGTTAATCTCCACCAGTATATCGATGCAAAAGTTGACACTGAAACACAATATTCTTCATGTCCATCTTTATTAAGACTGAAATCAGGTCGAAATGATCCAAAAGTTGGACGCACAAGGGAGTTTCCCAGACATCGGTAAGTGGGATGATGGATCCGACCATGATGGTGTATCAAAGATATATATAGGATGTGGGATTAAAGGCATACGTTGTATTTATTTCGACTACGTCAAGAGTGGAAAATCAATAGAAGGAACACGCCATGGTTTTCCGGTTTATATGGTATGCCTAAAAATCATTTTTATTTGTTTATTCCTATGCAAGTCCCTACATTAGGAATTCATTTGCTGAGTTTCGGTTCTTTGTTTCACCAATTTTTTTTTTTTGCAGGCTGAGATTAACCTTCTAGAAAATGAACATCTTGAATCTGTAAGTGGCACTTACGTGAAGGATGAACATATTTATTCACTTGTATTCAAAAGTAACTTCAAGACTATTGGACCTATAATGCCTATGGACGAGAACAGTGTACCGGGGGAAACTAAGGATTTTACACTAGCAGTCAAAGGGAAGAAGATCATTGGGTTTCATGGTTCTTCGATTTATATGGTCAAGTCTCTTGGAGCATATTTCACATGGATAACTCCAACTAGAGTGGAAGCAAAGGACGGAAAGGGAGGGAAAAAGTGGGATGATGAATATAACCATGAAGATGTATCAATGATTCATGTGCGAGGTGGTTATGGAGGCATACAATCCATCCAGTTTGACTATGTAACGAATGGAGAACTGAAAAAAGGGCCAGTCCGTGGTGTCTCTAACGGAGGTTTCACATCGACGGTAAGTGAATAGAAAATTATATACTCTCTTTATCTGAGTATATTGTTTGTAGTTTAACAACTCTTTTTGCAGTATGAGATAAACTATCTCAACGACGAATATCTAGTGTTCGTTGAGGGTTACTATGATGATGGTTTAAGAGTCATTCAAGGGATTCAATTCAGAACAAACATAAGAACATTTGAAATGATGGGATATGCCAAGGGTAGGAAGTTTACACTTGAAGACAATGGAAACAAGATAACTGGGTTTCATGGATATGCAGACAAGAGGGCTCTTATCTCTATTGGAGCATATTTCACCCCCGCGACTCCTTGTTGTAAACTGGAATGCATTGGTCAACCTGGCGATGGATTAAGGTGGGATGATGGTGCTGGTTATGACGGCATTAGAAAGGTGTTCGTTGCTGCACCAGCTTGTATATTGTCTATCAGGTTCGAGTACGAACACAGAGGCAAAGTAATTAAGACTCGTTTCCGGGGAGAGTCTGAAGAAGAAGTAGAGGTAAATAATTCATTGATCAGTCTAAAAGTTTCCTTGACCACATATAATGTTGTGTTCTTGAGTAGCTATTATATAAAATCTTTTTTATTTTTCTGTTGCAGTTTGTGATCGATTATCCAAATGAATTTATCACGTCTGTGGAGGGATCATTAGAAGGTATTCGGGTTACCTCGTTGACAGTCAAAACATCAAAAGGGAGAACATCTCCGAAATTTGGATTTCGTGTGACTAGCGACAAATTCGTGCTGGAGAAACCAGGTCATGTCCTTGTGGGCTTCCATGGAAGCTCAGATTATTATCTTCTTGCTCTTGGTGCATATTATCGCCCGCTGCCTCCTCCTCCTGATACGGTGAAAATAGAAGAAGAAGGTGGTGATGGAGGAGATTATTGGGACGACGGTGGTGCTTTCAACGGTATTAGAAAGATATACATTGGACTAACCGAAAACAATACTATAGGTTTTGTGTTAGATTTGGGTTTGTTATGGGCTCCCAACTTAAAACCAATTGGTGATAAGTGGATTGGCCCTAACCCTTTATATATTACTTAAGGTCCCATTGAATTCCCGATGTGGGATATATTATCCCTAATACCCCTCCTCGAGATGATGGCTCTTATCGGCCAGAAATCTCGGAACTTTAAGACAGTTATACTCAGTCGAGCGAGTCAAGTACGACAATTATACCTAGTCGGAAGGTTAAACACGATCTATATACCCGGTCGGAAGGATTAATCAATTAATTAGGAGTTTCGGGCTTTTTAGGATCTGGGCTCTGATACCATGTTAGATTCGGGTTATTGTGGGCTTCCAACTTAAAACCAATTGGTGATAAGTGGATTGGCCCTAACCCTTTATATATTACTTAAGGTCCCATTGAATTCCCGATGTGGGATATATTATCCCTAATATTTTGTCAAGTTTATGTATGTCCAAAACAATCGTATTGCCTTGGGAGATGATCATGGGAACAAGTCCGTGCTATATGATCTCCAAGAGGTCATTGATTCAGTTCTTTTATAAAAATAAAATCACAGCTATGGATATAGTACATGGTTTACTTATTATTATCCTCTCTTTTTTTTTCAGTTAACGCTTAGTGATCCTGCGGAATATCTCACATCAGTGGAGGGTGACTATGATGATGAATCCGGAGTTATAACCATGCTTAAGTTCACTACCAACAACAACTCTAGGGTTTTTGGATTCAGTACAACAACAAGTTTTATACTCCACAAAGATAAACATAAGATCGTTGGGTTTCATGGAAAATCCAGCAACATGCTTCATCAAATTGGGGTCCATGTTCTGCCCATTCCATGACGAGAGCACTCATTGATTTGTCATAACATTTGTTTCGAAAATATCACGTTATGTTTTGGACTTTTGATTTTAGTAAAGAAAACTTAATTGTGGCCAAAAAGAAAACATATATAATAGCCCAATTTTTTTGTGAAATAAAAAGCTACAACTATTTTTTAACTAACGTTTTCTTTCTTTTTTCATTCCTAAAACACTTTTTTGAAGAAATTCCTAAAACACTTACATTTTCTTTTTGTGCAAAAACCCATATGCTTAATTTCTTTGTCAAGAGATCACCTGTAAATCTTAAACACAACTTCATATTATAGGCCTCTATTTTTTAATTTTGTTTGAAGTCCCTAAATGCAATAATCCCCATTAGAAGGCACCCTCTATTCCGTCACACTATAGTCCTTCCCATCATACTACATCCATCCTTCATGAATCACAGTAGGAGAGGAAAGCAGTAAGTCAAACACTTACTGCAGTAAAATAAAAATAAAGAAAAAAACAAAAAGCAGTAAGTCAAACACCACGAGTAACACTACTATGAATCCTCTATGGGACATGCCTCTCAGATAATTTTTTCTTCGTTTTGAGGGGTTATCATTATTTCCTTTAGAACACACATGTATATACACATTATGTGATTTATGACATTATTCGGTCCATGTTTCCAATCATCGTAGATGGTTTGTTTACGTTCACTTCATTGTCATATTCTCTGTTCATATGCATCTTCTTTGGATCTAGCTCACTTCCTCTCTTACGTTTTCAGAAGCTTTCCCTCAGATCCTTTTCATTTAGAAAAAAATCAAACTCTCCCGAAGTTTTGCCTTTTATTTTCAGGTTAAGCTTAAAACAAAGTTTACTAAATCAAGAGCGCCAAAAACATAAATGGTTTAACCGTTTATACTAAACAGTTACGTCAAAAGTTGGGCCATATTTAAAAGTATTTGGGCTTGCAATGAAAAGAAAAGGCTAAAAATGGCTTCGAGAGGATTAAAAAAAAAAAAAACAGTCACGTGTTCTCTCACGTGATTGTCTTCATCGTCTCGACATTTGTAACAAAAATGTTGAATTAGGGTTTGAAATTGAAATCATCGCTGACAGAGAGAGAGAGAGAGCGCAGAGACGCAGTGTCATTTACATCCACCAAATTCACCTCCCTATTAAATACACTTTTACCTTTTTGCCCTTACACCCTCAAAAAAAAAAAGAAAAAATATCTTCCTCCGCTTCTCCCATTACCCTCTCTTCTTCTCATTTCTTATCTTCTTCTCCGCCATAACCTAACCGCCGCTAATTTTGGCTTCAGTGACTGTTGAACATGAGTGGATTGTTGGAACCTAAACAAGTGGTTGCAGCCGTTAAAGGCTTGCATTGGCGAACCTCTCTTGAGATTCACAAGCTTCTTAAAGATAACGAAGACTTCTGTATCTGTTACAACGATGGAGAAGAAGGTGCTTCACCAGAAAAGGTTTGCAAACTTTCGAATTTTCTTTTCTTGTTTTTTTTTTTTTTGATTTTTGATTTTTGATTTTCTTGATTTCAGGTAGATGTGGAGAAACTTGTACGGATGTTGCCTCTTCACCTCTTATCAGTGTTTATATCTTCTGATAGAGATGAGAAGCTTCGGTATTTGTTGTGTGGGATCAGACTGTTGAATACGTTTTGTGATTTAACATCTCGTCATCCTAGACTCGACCAGGTTCGAATCTTTTTTGTATTCTTGTAAAAAAAGAAAATGGATTCTTTATTATGTCTCTCTTGTGGAAATTTAATTTAGGAAAAATGCTTGTTTTGTGATAGGTGTTGCTTGATGATGTGGTGTTATCAGCTCAGATGCTTAATCTTGTGATCTTTACCATGATATCTCTCGGCGGTAACAGAAAGGTAAAATTCTCTATGTGTCTCTGATGGATTCTGTCGAAATTAATGGTTATCTGACTATTATTATCTCGAGGGAGGGTGTTAGAGTAAGATTCGATGTCTCTGATTGATTCTGTCGAAATTAATGGTTATCGGACTATTATTATCTCGAGGGAGGGTGTTAGAGTAAAGATTCGATGTCTCTGATTGATTCTGTCGAAATTAATGGTTATCAGAGTATTATTATCTCGAAGGAGGTTATTATCTCGAAGGAGGGTGTTAGAGTAAAGATTCGATGGTACATGAGTAATATATAAAGGACTTGGACTACTCGACTTACTGCCAATTGGTTTTAAGTTAGAATCTCTTCCAGTGTCTCTCTTTCTCAAGCTGTGATTCAACTCTGTTGCTGTTTTTCTTCCAGGAAAGCTGGAAATCAGATTATGACTCATTGATAGAAGCTACAATGGTGGCTTCTACTCTACACCTGATGCACGGGTTTATGTCTCCTAGTTCCCAAGATCTTGTTCTAATCTTGCTTGCCCACCCTAAGGTGTGATGACCTTTTACCATGATGTGCTTGAGATGCCAGTAGCTGGAAGGGATTCATTTGATCTGACTCTTATGTTTCTCATTTAGGTTGATGTGTTTATAGACACTGCCTTTGGAGCGGTTCACAATGTTGTGAGATCTTTAAGAGCGAAGTTGCTGCAACGGCAAACCGACCAAACGAAGAAGCTAGGTGTGAATTCTGTAGGGGCCGTTAACGCACACTGCCAACAAGCTGAAGCTGCTTTGCAGTTCCTTCACTCTCTATGCCAACACAAACTGTTTAGAGACCGTGTCGCTCAAAACCAGGTTTCTCTAATTGTTTGGTTCTTAAACCTTTGAGATGCATCAGTTTTAGATTAACCGCTATGATAGATTAGTACTGTTTCGGAGAATGATTCTCAGAGTGATTCTTCTTTCAGGAACTATGTGGAAAAGGTGGTGTTCTGATGCTTGCACAGTCCATACTATCACTAACTGTTACTACTGAATTTGTTGGAGCAGCCGTAATAATAGCGTCCATATCTAGAATAAAAGCAAAAGTTCTTTCACTTGTAAGTCTGCTGTAACTTAGCATAGTGTTCCTCTATTTACTATCTGCAAGTATCATCCCAAAGTTCTTGTTCCTGCAGTTGCACCATTTGTTTGAGGCGGAAAGTGTCTCATTCCTTGACGAGGTTGAACGTGCAGGAAGCTTGCATTTAGCTCAGACCGTTGCCTCAGAGGTTAGTTCTAGTAAGAGGTTCTGCTCTAAAATTGATAGGATGGTCAACCCGTCGTTTCCGCTATGTCATGTGTTGTTTACTTTTCAATTCCTCAATTGGCTTTAGTGATGCTATATCTGTAATCTAGGTTCTTGAGTTAATGAGGCATGGCCTTTCTAGAGCTTCCAAGGCTAGTGCTCCTCATGAGTATCCAATGGGTTTTGTGCTACTTAATGCCATGCGCTTAGCTGACGTGTTCTCGGATGACTCGCATTTTCGACGGTTTTTCACCAAACATTTTGTAAGTATTGAACATTCACATTCTCTATCCATCATACAGACTGTGAACTTTTATTTCTCTGGTTATATCTAATTGTGGTACTCAAGTCCTGTGATTTAATTTTGACGGATGTTAAATCTTATCTACAGACTATGGTTCTCAGCGCAGTGTTTTGTCTCTCTCATGGAGATTTCTTGTCGATGTTGTGCTCCTCTGATCTTTCTTCAAGGGAAGATGATGCAACACTTGATTACGATCTGTTTACCTCATCTGGATGGGTTTTAAGTGCATTCTCATCTTCTGTTGAATTGGTCGTTCCTCAATTCAAGCTGAATTTTCAAAATAATCTCACCATGTCTTCATACGCACATCAAAGAACATCCTTAATTGTTAAAATTATGGCTAATCTTCACTGCTTCGTTCCCGAAGTCTGCACAGGTGATTTTCAAAATAAACTCACCACGTCCTCATACCTTTGTTTCTTATTATGTGGATTTGCTGTTGAAACCTGCAGAAGATGACAGGAACCGTTTCATTGAAACTTTTGTGAGTGGATTGCGAAAGGATCCTTCAAGCATATTGGTTAATCTATTACCAAACTCTTCATATACTCCGGAGGCTCAGAGAGGCACTAGTGTTTGCAAAAACATAAGTGTGTACCTTTTTCCCCGCACATCCAGTTTCTTCTTGTTACACAAGTTTTGGTGATTTCGTTGTGATAGATAATTGTATTTTGTAGGTTCTCTGTTGCATCATGCAGAATTCTTGATCCCTAATGCACTCAATGTCGAGGATTTAATGCTTTTGAGGTGAAGGAATCTCTGAGTCACTACAAATATTATAGAACCTTCTATAGTTCTCGAGCTGTGCTGCTTTGTATTGCCATAAATGTATATTTTTCGGATGCTGTTGTATGCAGGGTGTTTTGTGAACAGTTGCAACCGCTAATCCGTTCTGAGTTTGAGGAAAGTCAGGCTGACGTGAAGGTGAAAAACTTGTTACTTTCTTGCAACGTTCAAGAAATTGCTAGGTGGCGGTTAGGCGCTTTGTAGAAGATTATTGTTTAGGCGAGTGCCAAGACTGATTTAGCCTAAACCAATTTAGGAAAATCATTTAATTTATAGCCTATTTGCCGCCTAGTCGGGCATCTAGGCACCTATTTTTAGAACACTGTTTTCTTGTAGTGTGCTTTTGTTTATGATTATCTGTTAAGTTAATTGATACAAGTAACTGCAACGACATTTACTTTTGTGGATCATATACTTGTGAAAGATGGGTCTTGTTCACTCGTAAAATGTTATGTTGGTTTTAGGATAATCAAGGTGCGGGAGGGAGTTCATCTGGTATGCAGGGGAGAAAAGAGCCTCTGAGTCGTAACAACGATGAAGCTTCAGAGAATTCTGAAGGTGCTGGGACAAAGCAAGGCGTGAACGAGGAGATGGAAATAGCTGAAAGGTCGAAAGAAAGCGACGCAGATGGAACCAGTGGTTCAGAAACAAGCTCTAACAGAGGGAAGGGTCTGGGTCTGGTTGATCAGGTTGAAGATGGAGATTTGGCTCGCACTTTTAGTAACCGGGTCAAAGGGAGTGCATCTGGAGAGGAGGTGAAGGAGGATGAGAGAGCTGAAGCTTCTCTTCTCTCGGAGAAACAGAGGACGAAAAGGAAGCGTAGTATTATGAGTGATGATCAAATAGCGATGATGGAGAAGGCGCTTCTTGATGAATTTTATTTGCAGCGAAATTTAAATTGGGTACGGTCAATGGCTGGTACACTGAGTCAAAATGTGAGTTCAAGAACTCAATTCTTTTTAATTTCCAGCCGGTTATTACAAACTCTGAGTTTGTTTTGATCATATGCAATTTTGCAGGGTCCTGAGGTTACATTTGCGCAGCTGAAGAACTGGTACTTGCTTCTCTCTCTCTCCACTGCCTAGAGAGTCTAGATTGATACTTTTTTTTGTTGTTGTTGTTGTCAGGCTGAATAACAGAAAAGCAAAACTAGCTCGAGCAAGCAAGCAAGGGCCAACTCGTGATAACAATAGCTCAGGGGATTTACCAGAGAGTCCTGGAGATGAAAACACTTGGCAGCAGCAGAAACCAACAACACCATTTACAGATAAAGCTTCTGCTGCATCATCATCATCTTCAGAAGGGCTGAAGCGAGGGCAGCAAGTGATGCTTGTGGACGAGAGAGGAGTCGAGGTCGGTAAAGGGACGGTTTTGAAAACAGACGGTGAGTGGTACGGTTTAAGCCTTGAGGCGAGACAGGTTTGTGTGGTTGATGTAATGGAGCTTAGTGGGTTATATGATTATAGTAAGATGAGCATCCCTTATGGATCTGATGATGTTGGGAGGACTTTTGGAGAAGCGAATTCGAGGTTTGGAGTTATGAGAGTGGCTTGGGATGTGAGCAAGGTTCAGTAACAGACTCAGTTTGCAGTGAGATTTGACCAGTAGTTTTTTTTTTTAATGTTCTTACCTGTTGTTTAGACTTTAGAGCTTTTCTTTTGGTCCTAACCCGAAAGATTCTCTGTTTTTAGGAACTCTGTTTCCCGCTCTCTGGTTATTTACAGGTAAAGGTTGAGAGCAAATAACTAAAAAATAAGTATAACAGTTGGAAGAGTTGACTCTTTTCTCCTTTAGTTGACTTTAATGCTATATATAGTACATTTCTTAATGTTCTTTGATGCGATAATAAATCTGAGAAGTAACCTTAAATCCATAATGACTATTTGATTAATTGCATGGATTTTGATTGATATTTCATGCAAAATATCATAAACAACATTTTATTGCAATTGTAAGATTTTTACATATATTTTGGGAATTTATTTTAAGGAACAAAATTTATTGTTTACGTAAGTTTTAATTAGTATTTATGTTTTAGTAATCACAGTACATATACATTTATTAACAATTTTGTATTTAAGATTAGAAAAAAAAGTTAGACCTGAAAATTCAAAGTGAACCCCAAAATAAACTCCAATCACAGAGAAGACACGAACTAGAATAAAATACAATGAATTAAAAAGTTGAATTAATTCAATCAAGTTGATGACAATGTATACACATTCTTATGCTCTAATTTAATATTTGTATTAACTTTGTATGTATATTTCTTGTTCAAACATATTCTAAAATTTCTATGGTCATTTAGTTGTGTTTTTGTTGTCTTTGTAGAATTTCAGAATTTTGTATACATTTTATTATCATCTATATACTTTTATTTGCATGGCATAAAAATTTTAAATTATAGCTTTTTGAAAGTTAGTAGCAGGATCAAAATCATAATTCAAACATTTTTTAGTCCCATAAAATGCTGACAAACCAATTACACCTTGTTCTTGATCAAAACATTTATCATAATAAAAACAATATTATTACCTCACGCCACGATGTTCTTTCCAGATATTATGCTTGTTCAGTCCATATTGTTGTTCGTATTTCAATTTCACTATATAAAATATAATATTTGTAAAAAAATAAAAAATGAAATTACTTAATGTAATTGGACTAATAGCTTTAAAAAATGAATTAGTCATGACATAAAACTTATATTTCTTTCTAATAATAAAATCAGATTAACTCTTCGAATGAAATGTGTAATTTGACTACCAACATCCATTTTTCCATATTTTTATATAATAATGTTATATATACATATATATATATATATTATGAATAATACCATATTAATCGGTTGTTTTTTCTTTTAATTGAGCAAAACTTTTATAATTTTGAAATATTTTTTTTTCACATGGTATTTGAGGTATCTGGTCTCATATATATAATTGTTGTTTAGTCTTATCTAAAATGATGATCTGAACTTTTATAGGTTTTATTGCAAACATGCACATCAATAAGGATTCCTTCATGTAATCAATTTCCAAAATTTTCAAGAAAAAAATATGATATACACAACCTTGACTTGTATTTTCTCATATAATAAACAAATTATTTTACTAAGATAATATTATACATATTTTTAATTATAAGATAATTTAATGCATGTCACAATCTTAAATATATAATTGTCAGGTGTCACAATTGTGTTAGTTAATAACTTTGAAAAACCAAACTTTATATTAATATTAAGAGAAAAATCACAACATCAGAGATATTCTTAGATTTATCGGCCTTATGCATCTTGCAACACTAATAAGAGATGCTCACTGATTTTTTTTTTATTCACGTCTGACTGCATCACACTAAACCGTCCTATGAGATTCATTCCTGATAGTATGCCTTGCGACTTGATGAAGATCTCTAATAAACTGCATATCTTGGAATTTGAACCCCATACCTGGTATAAAAACATTTAAACCTTAACCAATATGCTAAGGTGCTTCCACAGATGCTCATTGATTAAGCTTACTTTCATAGATAATTGTTAGAAAATAATACTATATACAAATGTAGCAAAGAATTAATGGTTCAAATTTGCAGTGTTACATCCGCGCATGTGTAAGAATGAGACTTTTGCTTCTCACAAAAAGAAAAAAAAAAAGACTTTTGGGAGATGAGATTCTTCTCATGCAGGTCTTGTATGTATGTTGAATTATGTTCATATGCATAGGAATGTGAAACCATTTCAAATTACAAAATCATGAAAAGAAAAAAAGGAGCACCATCTAGACCATACAATGTGAAGTCAATACATTCTTTATTGTGAATGAAAAGTTTAGATGTTTCAGAGAGCACAGAAAGCATGGAGAGTAGATTCAACTCTACGACCAGCTTCCGAGTAAAAGAAGTTAAGGAAATCATTATATTCAAAGGGTCTGAACAAACGAGGATGTTCTTCGTCTACAAGTTCTTCAGGTGAATCTATGATAACTCCTGGTTTAGGAACAGAGAACATTGCAGTTGAATACCTTGTCTTCTTTGCCCTCATCATGACTCGGTGATATGGAGAATACAATCTACCATTCAAAAGTGCCTGCAAAACAAACATTTAGATGATTACTGTCTTAAATAGTGTGTATTTATTTATGTGTGTGAACTGTGGAAGAACCTACACATAGTGAATCTCCAACCATAACTATGAAAGAATGTTGAGGTGGTTTCACTTTAATCCATTTTTCGTCTTTAGTCTTAATTTCTAACCCATCAACTTGATACTGATGAAGTATGGTGATGATGTTCTTGTCGGTATGAGAACGTAAACCTAGCTTTGTTTCTTCTACATCGTCATCCGGAAGTGATGTATACTTCATCATTCTAAATAGATAATTTGTAGAATTCAGATGCTCGTCAAGGTACTTCTCTATCCCAAAACTATCCATTATCATTCTTCTCACCATCACATCCAGTTCCACTAATTGCTTCGAGAACTTGTGCAACGTCTCACTATTTCAACACCAATATATAATTTGATAAAAATAACGAATTCTCGAAAGGTTTTTAAGAATGTTTCAAACAAAAATAGTTGCGTTGACCAACCAAATATTATATGTAGACAAATAAATTTTCTCTCATTTCAAATTAAGTAAGTATCATTTTAGAATAATTTTGTTTCAAATTAAATGATCAAAAATAAATGTGTTTTTATGATTTCAACACAATTTTTCTTTTAGAATTTTTCTTTTTCTTTTTATTATTTGTTAATAATAAATGCTATAAAATTTTAGTCAAAAAAGATTAGAACTAAAAGAATTTAACTATTTTTTAATTGGAGTATTTAATATGAAACGGATAGAGACTTAGTAAGTTTTGTACCTAATACTCCATCCGTTTCAATTTAGTTGTCATTTTTTGTTTTTACACACAGATTAAGAAAACATTTAATTTTACATATCTTTTAGAAAAAACACAATTACTTATACATAACTACATTTCAACCAATAGAAAAATATATTAGTAGATAAAGTTAATAAATTTTCTATTGAAATTATAAAACACACTTATTTTTAAACGAAAATTTTATTTTACAACGACAATAAAGTTGAAACGGATGGAGTATTAATTAATAAAAAATGTTTCATACCTAATACTTTTGTTTCCATGATCAGGCCATAGCAGTTGAGTGAAGTCGTTGACCTTCTCAGCAACATTAGCTTCTTCGATCCCCAAACTCTGGTAAAGATTGTGATTTAGATACCCATGAAAGGGTTTCGACGACACGTTTCTCTGTTTGGTCTGAACCGGCAAATCGAAAAGCTCTTCCATGGCTTCAAAAACAGACTTGTCAAGCTCAGTGTTGGACACTTTGTCAACGAAAGCTTGGAAGCATCCATAGTCTTCTAACGCTTTACGGACATCAGCCTTCACTTCATCCCACTTTGAGGTTCCTGGTGTTAAGTTCTGATCGGAGAAATCGATGACTGGGAGCTGAGGAGATTCAGAAAGAGGAAGAAGTGAATCTGAATCCATTTTTTCTTGATTCTCAGAACTTTGGTGGTCTTTTGCGTTCTTGATTTTGGCCGTAATACCAACTATGCTATTTTTGTGGAATCGAGTTCTATAACTAGTAGTGTGTATGTGATTAGAGATGCTAGCTTGGTTTAGCTGTATGCATAGTTGTTTATTAATTAATTAATTATGTAATAAATGCGTTTGTTGAGACTTCAAAGTAACGACCACAATTAATAACAATTGTAACGGTGCTTGCATGTGTATACGTGTGTGTAGCGTGTGTTATTCACTTATTGAATGTTAAAAAAGTTAAATTATTAAACTATACAGTTTGTCTAATTTTCTTTCCTGAAACTTATAGACGGTAGTCTCCTTAACTTTATTTTTGAACTGATCTCCTTAACTTTCTTGTAATATATAGTTTCATGTAATGGTTTTGAAACATCTGATGTGTATAAATAAGGGCTAATTGGTGTAATAGTCATTTTTGAGAGATAAATTAAGTGAGTAGCATTGATGTTAACATAATTAAATGTCAGATATTTTTGCCTCATTTTATCCGGTTCCGCCCTTACACTTAAAAGGTTTTCAGTTGTAAGTGGGAAAATAGGTAACGTCTTTCCTTTGGTGATGTCATCCACGTATCTATTTATTAACCACATACATAGCACCGAATATTTTATTCTATATCACCGAGTATTCTATTCCATATTACTGAAATATTATAAGATTATAACCTCATCTATAACTTTTAAATATTAAATATATCTCAACTCTACTTATCTCTAATCCCATGACAACCCCTAAATATTAAACCCTAAACCTAAGTATAAACCCTAAATCCAAACATAAACTCTAAATCCAAATAGAATGAAACAAAATAAATAACATAGTACATATTTGTGAAATTATGAAATGTTATGATTGCATGTAAGAAGATAATGATGACTCCAATCCCACCCCTTCATTTTCTATACTAAGAGCATCTCCAATCCCACTCCATAATTTACTGCAAAATGGAGTGGAAAATTGAGTAACGAAAAAACAAAAAAGTGATAACTCTATAAATGGAGTAATGGGTTTTTTGTTTCTTCATCACTCCATTTCCCACTCCATTTTGCAGTAAATTAAGGAGTGGGGTTGGAGATGCTCTAAACCCTAATCTCTAAATCGTAACCCAAATATGAACCCTAAACTCAAATATTAAAATCTAAAAAATAAATAATATTATATAATATTTAATTATATTATATAAAATTAAACAATAAAAATATATAATAATATGATTTTTACAGATTAAAAACATGTAAAGATAGATAGAATCTAAGAAAACTACAAACTATATTACTAAATAAAATATAACACTTTTTATTAACCGTCAAATGGAATGGAACATGAAACTCTAGTTATCCCTAATCCCACCACAATCTTTAAATATTAAACCCTAAACTCTAATCAGTAAACTCTAAACCTAAATATAAACTCTGAACCCAAATATAAATCCTAAACCCAAACATAAACTCTAAACACAAATAGAATGGAACAAAATAAATAACATAGTACATATTTCAGAAATTATGAAAAGTTTTGTGATTGCATGTAAGAAGTTAATGTTGACCCCAACCATACCCCTTCATATTCTAAATATTGAACCTTGATTTCTAAACCCTAACTCAAATATAAACCATAAACCCAAATATCGAAATCTAAAAAATAAATAGTATTATGTAATATTAAATTATATTATGTAATATTTAACTATATATATATCATAATACGATTTTTACAGATCAAAAACATGTAAAGATATATATAATTTAAGCAAATTACAAACTATATTACTAAACAAAATAGAGCACTTTTTATTAATCTTCAAATGGAATGGGACATGATAAAATAGTATAGTAACAAAATAAAACGTATAATAAAATATGAAAAATACACATTGTTTACATTTATATTCTATATAGAATACAATAACAGAAATTGTTCATCTTCTCCCACATACAACATAGATTCCTGTAAATTTTGATACGTACTTGTTCTGGTGTATTCGCTATTATCGCTTTTAGAATCTGAGAAGCTTCTCCGTTTCGTCACTGACAAAGCGGTGACAAAGCCTTCACCGTTCTCTTCCTCCACAAAACTTTGCGTGAACGTAGTCCACAACGTCACTCAAATCTGTTTTGGAGGAATTTATTCACTTTTCCAAATACTTGCAATGAAAAACTTATTTTGTGATTGTATGTGCAACAAAAAACTACGTTATATGTTTCACAATCAATAGTTATTAATTGAATTTTTTTTCTTTGCAGGTTATACTGGTGAAAAGAAAGGCCAATATAGTATTATTACACAAATATAACAGTGTGTATAGGAAAATTAGGGAAATTGGTTAGTTGGTGAATTATACTTTTCTTCATGCTATACAGTCCAATTTCCCTATAAATAATTGACCCAGATACATCGTTGCATATACAAAATAAAAAATAGCGTAAAATACCTACATTTGGAGAGCTAATCCAACTGTAAAACACCTCTTTTTTATCATGCCCTGACTTTCTTGCTGTCTTTTATATGCCAATCACATATATAACATGACAAAAAAATTAAATGAAGGCTTCACTTCATCCCACTTTGAGGTTCCTGGTGTTAAGTTCTGATCGGAGAAATCGATGACTGGGAGTTGAAGGGATTCATAGAGATAGGAAGAAGAGAGTTTGAATCCTTTTTATTAATTCACAAAACTAGGCCTGGA